TTCCCTTGCAGGGCACAAAACAAAATAACTAAGTTGGCCAACTTCCGCTTGCAGGACTGGGATGTGAGAAACAACTGAGACAAAGCAGGCGCTCGGAGCAATGGTAACAAGAAAGATTCAGAATACGCTCATTAGGAAGGATAATCATTTAGCCAGTTTTCCTCAGACAGAGGAAGACCAGTGCTTCCTTCTAACTGGAACTCATCCATCTGCATCTACAAACATCAACATTATCAAGCCGTAGAAGATTTTTATTAGTGGGGACAAAATAGGTAAAATCAAGTTCTAAGCAAATTCAGGTTCTAAACTCTCAGTAAAGCTCAAGAATGCACCAGCAATATGTGTACGTGGCTGAGGAGGGAGTCTAAACAAACGTACAGGCTAGGAGAAGCCATTAGCTTTCCTGACCTAACTTGTTACAGGGCTATTAAAACAGAAGAAAAATCTCCAAGTAGACATGCATAAAGGAAAACAGTTTATGTTTTGCCTCATGTTAGACCCTCCAGCAGCCATGCTTTCAGCCAGCTGAGAAATTCTCCGCCGTTTACCACGGGAAAATATAAAATAAATGCAGACGTGGATAACACTTTCTTGCTGACACAAGGCAAGGCTACCAGTCAATTTATAGTCATAGATTCGAGGCAACTCCTAATTTAAAAATTCCAGTTTTAAAACACTTCCCACTAAATCACAGACTGCGAGGATCCTGTCCTCCCAAACAGGAGATTTGCCAACAGCCTGTCCAAGGGAGCAGTCAGTAACAGTGGTTATAAACACAACACACAGATCTCTCACCCATCTCTTAAACATAGTTTAGGGGAATACATGTGGAGCTTTACCACTACTGAAAATACAAAACACAGTTACAAAATTAGATGCCTGAATGTAATCTTGGAAAGAGTAAACTCTCTCACAAAAACCTGCTTCTGAAAGAAGCCATCCAGAAGGATGCCACCCCATAGCTTCTTGGGTGTATTACTCACCATATCTGTAGCTTGATCTTCTTTCCTTGTAATTCAACAGTTTTAATCTTGAAGTCTATCCCTAAGATAAACAAACACATAAATAAGTAATTAGATTTATTCACAAAAAAAGCAATTCCACATCAACTCAGAATTGCTGCAGACAGAACAGCAGCTTTTTTTCTTCTTTTACTGAATCGTCAGGTAAACCAAGGATGTCCAAGTGAACTGGAATGCAAGAGGAGCACGGCTACCAAGGCAAACAGGGCCTCCAAGGGTCTACAATCGCTCAAGGGACACCTTCAGCTAACATTGTTAAGATGATCTGGCTTCTAACAGTGTTTTAGTTTCTTTCTTATTTTTAAGAACGAAAAATACCAGGTTTTTGCAATTTTTCTGGAGGACTTCCAAAAATTTGGGAGTTTGGGTATAAATTTAAATATCCTAAACAAAACAGCAAGCTTTCTTCTTGGTTGTTTTTTTTTTTTTTTTTAAAAAAGATTCTTTCCCCCAAAATGACTAAACCACAGTATTTTTAATATGTTGAAAAATTACGTGAAATATTGTGGTGAATTTTTTTTTTTTTTTACACTTATACCTAATCCTTGTGATACCACCATTTCAGAAACCTCTCAAAAAAACTGCCTTCCCCCCCCCAAGATTATCCTTTCCATTAATCTTGTTCAAGTTATCTATCTGTAAGAGTAACATTAACTACAGAAATCTTAATGCTTATTACCCACTTACCATAACTCAACGCGGCCAGTGCGAGAGCCTACACCAGAGCACGTGACAAGACTTCAGACTACTAAACTATTAAAAGCAGCCGTCTTGCTTTTTACACCATTGAAACAAGGAGCAGAAGCCCTAAATTGTCTCTTGAGCTAAAAGCACGCATGCATGGTTTATAGACAGTCAACCTGAAGCTTCAATAATGTAAGCAGAAGGGTTTAAGCAACACGAAGCTTTCAACCAGCAATAAAAGGCCAGTCACCAGCGTAAGTTGGCACCCAACCGCCACGTCTCTTCGTCCAGGTCCATCCCTGCTCCAGCCTCTGACGTGGTACAAGCAAAGTCACAACTTGACAGAAGCGCGTAACCAGGACTCTCAAAACTCAGAGTAAGCAGAGACCATCTTGACAGAGCACGAGTAAGGTTTTTGCTGTTAATACCAACTAATACAAAATAATTCACATTAATTTGTGGCAAAGCTGAAATGGTATTGCAAGCAAGTCGGTTAACTACGGGATTTGCAAGGACTGACTGAAGAGGAGATGAAGGAGAGCTGTCCTGAGAAGACCTAGGAAAGAAGAAACTAACAAACTGAAGACAGATCCTTGGCCGAGACCAATACTGAAACCAGTATTCAACATTTTAATTATTAGTTCTGGTGTAATAAATTGTCCTATCCGAAGTCTACTGCTCACAAAAGTGAAAGGCGCTGCACAAAGGACAATTAAAATAAGAAACTGATAATCTTGAAGATAGAATAAAAACAAGGGGTGGGTTTCAGCAGTACAAAATGCAACATTACATGCCTGTTACCTAAGAATTTCTTCCGTGAACCAGCAGCTGTTTTCACATGAAAAATATGACAGACCGAAGGCTGAGAGATTGCCATTTTACTGTCACGGAGTAGCTATAATCCAATGGAGAGGCAACCCTAGAATAGTCAAATACGATCTTGCAGGCACCTGCTGAGAAATTTCCATCTGAGGCAGGGAAATATTGAGCACCATTGTTTAAGACCTTGGTGAAACCTCATTTGTGCAATGTGTACAAACGAATCACTCTTCCCCAGAAGAGACAGGCTCAGACCAAAACGGATGCCATGCAAGAGAAGCCAGGATGAGGATGCCCCCACCAGCTCCTCCATAGCAGAAGAGGCTTGAGGACCATGTCTCATCTCCACCTTCTCTTCCCAAAATTGCCTACAAGAATTATTAGCACAGACTATACCCAGTGGAGCAGGAACACTACAAGCCATCTTCTCAAAATCCTCCGACAGTAATTAGATGCCAGAGTTCCGACTTTCAATTCAAATCAGAGAAACACTGCTGATAAGTTTTTCATGCTTCCCAAAAATCTGTTTATATTTAGACTTTTTAAAAGGCAGCAGCTGCAATCACAAACTTCCCTCCTAAATCTACAAGGTCATTTTATACCAAGTAAGATTAAACAGAATTTATGAAACACACTATTATGTAAGAAGTCAACATGGGAAGTCTGCTTTAAACTCCACCAAGTCCAACTCCTTTTAGCTGTATGTACTGCACACACAACTTCATTTTAACATTGAAATACTAAATTAGTAAATCTTTTTACACAAAAATCAGGATACCAGAGCCTGTCAGGGAAAGACTACACAATTTTAGACGGTGGGGGGGAGGAGAACCTCCCTCCCCACAGGCCTGTGTTGTGCAGGGGGAGGAACAGGGACGGCACTTGCTAGATGGACACCTACCATATATGCAGCCAAAAGGAAAATGTAGAATAACCCTTAAATGAATACCAAATGCAGCTCCTCACGGAGCCTCTTATAGTTACCAAGTATTTCATAAATATGAACCAGAGTGTAAGGGGGCAAAATTTCCCATTTCGAAGGATTTAAAGCAGTACAGGGACTAAAGGTCGAGGTTGTCCACTAATTCTAAGACATCGGCTTGGGTCCTTCAGACCTCTGTTTCAAGTCAGTGTTCCATTTTTTTCCAATTAGCCAAAGCAGTACTTCGTCACTCATGTTAAGTTAAATTTATGAATCAATATAGCTAGTATCATATGTATGTGGTTTGAAAAATAAACCCATTAAATGATTAATAGCCAACATACAAAACTGCCCCAAATACACTTAATGATCCCCACATTTTGTAGCATTTAACCAAGTTGTTTGCTATGATGTAGTGCTCCACAGCAATGCTATCAAACAAATGAACACAGCATTTGCCAAAAGATCATAAATAAAAGTATTTTAGAGAGTGACACTTTTAGGTTCTGCCCAGATAAAGCAGGATGTTTGACAGCCACTTTTTATGCGTTAAAATAAAAGTAAGCTATTAACCCAGCCAAGGAAATTAACTCTTCTCTGCACTGAAAGGGATTTAGCTAACTCTAGTATTTGGGGATAAAATAAATCTCTAATCCCACGTTATACTCAGCTTCCACTCCAATTACAATATAATACTAGTTCAGCCTTCGTAACAGAAAGATTGTTATAAATAGCAACGACTATTTGCCTCTAAATACTTTCAAAGTAGTTTCAACAGACTGGAAAAACTAGACTTCTGCATTGCTATAATGCCCATTCAGTTCTAGGTCTTTCCAAAGAAGTCGCCAGTGACATTGTGCCAGCAGAAACACAAAGGCTTCAGAGAGAAGAGATTACAGGTATGGGAAATTTCCAGTAACATTAAGTTCAGGAAAGAGTTTAAGAGGGTAACGGGCATAAAAATTGAATGGCATGCAGAACGGACATACTGCCATCACAGGAGGATAATGACAGAACTAATGAATTAAAGATGAGCATGAAATTACTCCCTTATTAAGTGTCGATAAGATATTCATCAACTTCAGCAGGACAAACTGGAATTCACAGAAAAACCTGGGAGTATACTGCCAGCCTATTAAACACTTAATTGAGGCCCATACTTTCAAATAAAAATTTGGAAATGTTTGTTATGCTTCAGTATAGCTTACAGTATAGCTCTTTAGGTTACTGGTCTTTGAGTATCAAGGCTTAAGAAGTACCATTAGTTGATCTCATGGTATGTGCAAACAAGATCTGCCCTTACACAAATACTGGAAGTCACTTCTGCCTGGTGTAAACACGCAGACTAAGAGGAGTTTCAGAAGCTGGAAGGTTGGACTTGTGCATCAGCCCCCTGAAGTCAAGCTCCTCCGTCCCTACATCAGCAGAGATTATTGTCAATGACTCCCGACAAAGCATTGCAGCTTTATTTGTGTAAGTTTAAATACCTGAACGTCTTGGTGAATACAGAACTATTTGCTCAACGGTTTTGCATTGCCATTGCTCTCGGTGGAAAGACATTAATGAAGACTCAGGACTTGCGTCAGCAGAACAGAGTGTTTTAAATGCATAATCGCTGCCTCCAAACAGTTCTATATCACTTTACACCTCCTCAAGCCCCTGCCAAGGTTTTGTAAAGATCACTCTTCTGTTGCTAAATCACAAACCAACTATTCTTGAAAAGTGAAAGACAGAATGCCATCAGTACAAGAGGGAGGGAGAAAAAGTTATTTTCCAGTCCATTTCAGAGCTACAAATGATGAGCTAGCCCTTTTCAGACAGCACGAATTTTGTTTGCATTCTTTCCAAACAAAGACAGCATTCAGCTTGGTGAGGACGCTGGGCGGTAGGAAGCGGAATGTAGGGCAAGAGAGGGGCAATGCTGCAGTGCTGGGAGCCTGACAGTCAACCTGCACGTCAAATCACCACCAAATGCAGGCTGTAAGCAGCATATAAATAAATGCATTTTGTATTTCATTTGTTAGTAATTGCTTTGCAAATATACTTTAACAGAACTATGTATTTTCAACTCAGGAAAAAAAAGCAAACATGCACAAATTCATACCCAAGTCTTGTGTGTTCAAGCTGCCCACCTTTGAGCTACAGGCCCTAGCAACAGCAAGTATTTTTCTTAACCGTGTATTTAAACTGCAGCTATCGATATCCAAATTAACACAGCAGAACTCCGGCCACATTCAAATCTTCTGATGAGCACTGGGAGCCATCTGGATGGCCCTTTTCGCCTGATCCCTGACCGCTGGGTCAGTCATCCTGAAGAAGGCAGAGGTTCACAGCTTGGGCTACAGCACTTTCTCCAAGGGTTTGAAGGTGCACTTGAATATCCCCCACACTAATCCACTTCAAACAACTAAAGCAAGGTGGAGCTCTTGCAAGTGCTTTAATAGCCACAAAAGGATATAAATCTTATCTTTACTGCCTAACTTTTTAGAAATTCCAGCGTAAGTAAAGAGACTGATGAGGCAGAAAGAAATCTGCTATCTTTCTTTGAATTAACAACTTTCAAATTCACAAAGTCAGAAGGAACACAGTCTCATGAC